GTGCCACCATGCCTGGCTAATTTTTGTATTTTTAGTAGAGACGGGGTTTCTCCATGTTGGCCAGGCTGGTCTCAAACTCCTGGCCTCAAGTGATCCACCTGCCTAGGCCTCTCAAAGTGCTGGGATTATAGGCATGAGTCACCGCACCTGGCCCCAAGTATCTCTTTTCATAAACTGTAATTCTAATTTCCCTGAAGGTCTTTTATGTTTTTGGGTTTTGTTTGTTTGTTTGTTTTTTAGATAAGGTCTTGCTCTGTCGCCCAGGCTGGAATGCAGTGGCACAATTATGGCTCACTGCAGCCTAGACCTCCTGAGCTCAAATTATCCTCCACCTCAGTCTCTTGAGTAGTTGGAACTACAGGCATGTGCCACTACACCTGGCTAATTTTTGTATTTTTTGTAGAGATGGGTTTTTACCATGTTGGCCAGAATGGTCTTGAACTCCTGAGCTCAAGCAATCTTCCTGCCTCAGCCTCCCAAAGTGCTGGGATTACAGGCATGAGTCACCATGCCCAGCATTCCTGAGGAACTTTTCTAGGGAGAAAAATAATCTGACTCTAAGGTTTCCATATCATATATTATCAACCATTGATTAAAAATTTAAATTCAAATATCATTTCTCCCCTTACCATTATTGTAAAGTCTTATCCTATATCTAGAAATCACCAGAGAAGATCAGAATAAATAGTTCTGGCTTACTCCAGGTAAGAATATTTAAAATAAAACTTTTTTTGAAGCCACTTATGAAAAATGTTTATTTAACACTGTAATGATTCTTATTTTAAAAAGAAAATCTTACATGCTTACCTTATATGACTTTAACTTTTTAACTTTACCTATCATTTGCACTAAAATGAAACAGTAGATTGTACTCAAGAGGTGTATTTTTAAGTCATGGTAAATGTTTTTATGCATTTCATTCTGCTTTTTCCCTCATGATTAAACTATATTTAAAATAAAACTATGTAAAAACTCACTAAGTTAAGTCAGTAGGAAAACTCTAATTTGTCTTGTCTAACAGGAAATCTCTGTTGGAAATAGAGAATATGAATCAGACTTAACTAGATTCTGAATCTCATACAAGTCTCTACTTATTTTGTCTATTCCTAAAAAGGAAAAATCTCACAAAAGAAGGTGATACATTTGCAAAGAAATGACTAGTAAAAATTTACTAGTCAAAATTACCATTCTTAGGTCAAGACGGGTGGATCACTTGAGGCCAGAAGTTTGAGACCAGCCTGGCATCATGGCGAAACACTGCCTCAACTAAAAACACAAAAAATTAGCCAGGCGTGGTGGTGCGCGCCTGTAGTCCCAGTTACTTAGGAGGCTGAGGCACAA